CTACATCTCCATCAAATATCCAGTGACTATGAGGAACTCGAATTTGCTCCAACATTCGAACAGGTAGGAGGTTTGGAAACGAGCAGAGAAAAGTGGCAGCATGAAGGCTATTACGGTAGGAAGGTAGTCAAATGTCACATTCAGTAAAATTGAAACGAGAACTTCAAAAAAATACGATCCGATAGGGAACCGTACCTCCTTGTACCAGTTCGAACCTCTTAGAGTACCCTCAGAAAAGAAAACGAAAATTGGCAGGAAATAAAATAATACTAAGAAACAAAGTGACTACACAAATATCAAAAACCGTAGAGATATTTAGCAGCATATGAGACGCTACGAGTAAGCAGAACGCGTACAATGGCAGAGGTCAGCCATCAGGGCGGCACAGAAGGGATGCGGGTCAATCGAAGAGGGGGGTCATCGCCCTCTTCTGTACAGAGGAGAAGATACGAGTGCATCACTCTAGCACCCACGACGAACCCAATGCATAAGCACACAGCCCACCACCGACTCAATTCCTTCAATCAATTTGTTGACAATACGTAGCCCTCTGTGCACTACAGTATGGGATCGTTCTGATTGCACAATCGATGAATAATTGGTGTCTGGAAAAGCTGCTGCTCCGATATCGTGATCGAATCCGATGTGACATTTGGTCTTTGATACTGGAATTGGCTGAGCAGTTGGTAGTGCGCTTGACTGGCTGGAAATGAGAGCGGTGAGGTTCATCGCCTAATCGGAGCTTACAAATGAACCCATTCTCTTTCACCTCTAGTCTTTTTTGAAGCTTTTAGGGTGTTCCTTCAGCCAACTTTTTCAATTTGATTCTATGCAACTGTCAGATGGTAATTTAGTGGTTTTACGATTTCGAGTAACCGTTCGTCAATTGAAGTGTTCTCCAAGAGGCCGCACTCAGGTTGTTTACTGGAGTAGATCACTAGTATCTGCGTACAAACCTGGGAGGTCCGATTTTCGAAGAAAATCAGGGGTCAGAAATGATACTATACTACCGAATCTTCCAGCTTTTGAGGTGGAGCTATAGACGGGGCTGGTACGACGAAGAGCCTGAAGAATGGAGGACCATTTTAGAGGCTGGACCGGCAGAATGGAGGAGCAGCCAAGATCAGGACCTGATCAGTCTCTCGTGGAATGCTTTATGTGAGGAGTTGCATTAAATCGTCCGACCGGGAAAGGGGACCTCTAGAAATATTGAATCAACCAGAAAATGGTTGAAAATTATTTCATCTTCATTTCCCATTGTCGGGTTACCTCTTGTCATTGTATGGCGCAGACTGATTGAGGATAGTTTTTATTCTAACCCTCTTTGCATAGAGATTTTTTT